TTTTCTGACATAATAGATAGGTGTATTTTCTTCAGAATTGAGTCAGACTGATGTAACATGTGTAAGAGTATCTAGACCAAGCTTCTGTATGACAACTTTGGCTTTTATTTGTAAGTAAATACTGGATCTCACAAAAAATGCCAAGGTAGTAACTTTGGAGACAACAGATCTCTAACCACAGGAGGACAGCACGTGCAGCAGATTGCAAACTTCTCTTTGGTGAATATACTGCTCCTAGTGGTTTAGACTGAAATATAATCCATCTATTATATCAATAATTGGTAGATTTATACCAAAAATGTACATTTGAAATTAGAACATAGCAATTTTTTAGATTCCATTTAGAAATACAGGAATTGTGTGAATATGCCAAAAAAGGTGTTTTATATTTCCTGTGAAGATACTGCAAAGGTACCTCCCTTTAAACAAAAGATCTGGTGATACTGTAGAGGTGGGTACTGCAAATGGGTATTTTACAGCATATTGAAAGTGCTAGTCTCTTTTATGTTAGGGAATCAGAGATTATACTAACAGAGCTAAGTTCTGGGCCAAGGATTTCTGATTTCAACTACTAAAAAATCAACAACCTTGCAGGACTACTCCATAACTCCAGAAGGGCTTGTTGCAAGATGCTTTGATTGTTGAGAGCCAGATCTAAAGACCACCAAAGCCATGGAAGGATCTTCATTGGCTTTAATGTTCTTTAAAGCAGACAAACAGTTATTTGACTACAAAGAAGTATTGGCTAATTTGATTTTTCATTAAGAAATCTGCAAAAGTATATCTGTCAATAATTTGTACACTCTTCAGAAAGAGAAAAGGGGACAAGTGTATAAAGCGTTCATATGAATTTGCACAAAAATGATTTCTCATAAAACCATGAAAGTGTTCCTGTCCGATATAGTGGTTAAGTGTGCTCGTTGCTTTGTCATCGTTGTCGTCATCTACAGGCTCTGTGGTGGTCTCGAGAGTCAGGCTTAAATTACTTTGAAAGGCAGTTTTAAATATGAGAGAACTAGAGGTGGTTGGTCATCTCCCTTGGGCTACTGTGGGAATTTCAACCACTTCTGAATGTCAGTCACTTCAAAAGATGTTAGAAACAGAGGCATCTGCGTGTACATGAAATCTAGCAAGTTTTCCTTACATCTTTTGTCAAAATGCTCCTTGTCTACACTGTGTTAGAGGCTGAACATTAGTTGTGTGTTGGCTGAAGAGATGTACAAAAGCAAAGAATGATGTGTGTTCAAAACGTGGCTGCTGTTTTAGTGGAGTCACAAGCAGTATCGTGTTGCCAAGTAAATACAAATTCTGTATACTGCTGCTGTGTGATGGACAGAGGCATATAGTCTTCTCAGAAGGTCTGTATTAATCTGTTAACTAGCTTCCCTCCAAGTTTTATTCAACTCTTCACCTGAAAGTTACTATAAATATTTCACATGCCTCTTTTCTATCTGTCATTGGTTCAAAATGACAAAAATGTTATCCTGCCTTCTAATTTTTCCATGTGAACCACTTGTTTTGGTAGACTACAGTTAAGAGGCTTGCTTCTTTTCTGTTGTTTTACACATGGGTAATTCCAATATAGTTATTTCCTGCTTTAAATGGCTGTGAAGTGAAAGAAATACCAGACTGGGGCTGTGAATGTTATGTATCAAACAACACTAGGTGCATTCTGCCAGTTAAAGCTGGTCAGGAAATTTGGAGAATGCTGCTTTTTTTTTCTTTTTTCCTCCTAAAGAAATGTTAGTTTGTCAAAGATTTTCTGTTTTGATATACTCCAGTAAAATGAAACCTGGTTTCCTGCTAGTCCACTGGGCAGGTTGTGGATCCAGGGATTGTGCAGGGAATCTGTGAGACCTTGGAAATGAGGACTCCTTGGCTCCCACATTTCCTGCTGTAGTCCCAAATGTGCAGAAAACAGCACTCAGCTCTCAGCCTGCAGAGAGGAACCTAGAAAATGCAGGTTTGGCTGAGATCTGCAGGCTTCCTTCTGCAGAATTGAATGATGTCGGTTTTGCCATGTTTTCCAAGGCCTTGCATAGAGAGTTAAGAAATGTTCAGAACCCACAAGGACTGGGATGCTGGAGCTTCTTACAGAAGTGGTTTTATAGCTGGTAGTCATGACAGAGATCATGAATAATCAGAAGTATAGAAGATGAGGAAGTTAAGCTAAACCAGAAGGGGCCTCTGAGCTTAGAAGATGGGGCTATTAATTCAGTTTATTTAAAACCTTTTTTTTTAAAAGTGGTTATTTCAAAGCAATTTTTCCTCTTAGGCAAGGCTTTGCAAAATTGGTCTTTTTGACATTTCACAGATATGGCATTTCATGGGACAGAAAATCCTCTTTTTAACAGCTCTACTTTTAGTGACAGAGGACTGTGTTCTCAGTCAATGCCAGACTAGTGCTCTGTCTGAGTTAAGTTGATAGAGACTGAACCTTAATCAGATGATTTTTCTCCTGTGCTTTGTTATAGAATTTTACTCCCCAGGCGACTCAACCATGCATTCATTACATTCTCCCCAAGGTTCACTCTAGATAGTTCTTGACATGAACATATCAACAGCCAGCTGCAGTGATGAGTGAGAGAAATTATGGGTTAACACATATTTCAAGAGGAAGATACTCCATAACCTGGAGTATTCCTCATTTTTGCAGGTATTAACTTTGTGTTCAATGTTTCAGCAGTGAACATATAAACACTGCACTCCTTTTCAAAGAAAAACACGACTGCTTCATTTTTATGGTAACTCTTTGTTTTTTATTTTATAAACACTTCAATAAACCTATTCTCTCCCATAAACAAAGCAGCAGGGGGAACTTGGGTTCAGTTTACTTTTTGGTCAGAACATTAATTTTTTGGCTCATATGTCACCTTCTAAAAATCCATTGATGTATAGGTATAGTTATAGTGCTAATTAAAGACCTGAACTGGAGGAATTAACCAGGTGTTTACTCACCATTTTTCAAGAATGTCATTGTGTGGCCACTGCTACAGGACCACACTGAGACTTCCATGCAGCCAACATAGTCAATGCACCTTGAACCTACATAAACCAGTGACATATAGAGTGATACTTGGCCACCAAATACAGGGAGGGATCTAGTGTGGCTAAGTGATGCAATAACAAATTCAGAGTAACATCACCATTCTAGGTAGGAAGAATAATAAATAGAATGCTTTGTCAGTGAAAACCTTCCACAAAGACTTACTCCCTCCTCTGGAGCTCTGAGGAAGGCGTCTGCTTGTACTGAAATGTTAACTTCTGTAATGACACCAGGGCTTGACATTAGTGTCCCTCATCTCTTAGACTGATTTATTTTCAAACATGGAAACAAGTTCAATAGTTTGTTCTGTCAAATCAAAAGTATATTTTATTGTAGTATTGCGGCCACTGATTGTTATGCTGATGCCAGAGGGCTTGTTCTTGTACGAGTGGGGAGAAATAGGCCTATTGCACTAGTGAGGGAGACCCATAAATCCCTGTCTATTCCTAAAAGCTAGTTCAGGTTCTGGTCCCACGCATTAGAGAAAGTACAGTGTCAGATTAAAAATTGGCATTTTGCAGAGCACATCCAAAGTCAATCAATGGACTTTAATTTTTAAAGGTAAAAATGTAATATTAGTAATGTTTGGTTCCACAGTTTCTGGAATGTTATGAAAACCATAAAATCAATTGAGCCAATATAATGAATCTGTTCTAAAGTTGTCTATAGAACTGAATGGGAATACTTCAAAACTTGCTGCCAAAACTCAGTGACATTTCGTAGCAGGTTCATATTTATGCTTTTGGGAGTAAGAAGGTAAAACTCTTAAAAAAAAAAGCCAAACCAAACAAACAAAAAACCAAACCCCACCCCAAACCAAAAAACCTAAAAGCAAACAAAACCCTACCCCCAAACCCCTCCTTACATGACCAGTTCTTCAGTAGATATAAATTTACATAGTACTATTGAGTTGAATGAAGCTTTGAAAATTTATGGAAGTTCAGAACCTGGTTCAATAAATTGCAGTCTCTGGAATGGGCTTATATGTATGTCACTATCTGTGTTATTATCCCCATTTTCTTTATTTTCTTGGAAGTTCAGATATATCTTTGTATATTGATGAGGATTAGTTTTATAGTGAGCTTTATCTTTCAGAAAGATTGTTTTGCATGTAGTAAGGAAAAAAAGGTGTGGAAATATTCTTCTTAATGAAATGGTAGGGAAGATCATAGTGGAGTTCATAACCATCAAGGGACCTAAAAAGATTTTAGCATTCCTTTTTTTGGCAGGGGAGGGGATTCATTGCACCTTTAACCTAAAACTTGTCAATGCTATGAAATTAGTAACAAGAGGTTTTGAATCGGAAAAATGAACCATATCTAGTTGAAGCACAAAAAATCTATAGTGTTGGAAGGCTGGCATTATCAAAAGAAAAACAAATTTATTTTTTTCAAGTCATTTTAATCACATCAGTCATGTTGCAGCAAGGAATGCAAATATTCATATACTACAGATTGAGACTGCTCTGAAATGTTCTGACAATCTGTTATGTTTTGAGTGATGTTTCAACCCTATCACTTGGGGTTTTTTGTTTTGTTGTTGTTTTTTTTTATGACTATAAAAAGACACTACTCATCTCTGTCACATGCTGTACAGGATAAAAAGCCTTTCAGTTTTCTTAACAAGAATCAGACGGCCAGGGTGCTGCTGGAACGCAGAGAATATGCCACTGTCTGTTCAAAGTACAGCTTAATGAGCCAGACTAAACACACTGGACAATAGAGCTGTGGGGGGAAAGGGCTTCTCGTGGATCTATGGATCAGCTGCAGCCTTAACATCTAACTAGTTTCATTTTTCATCTTTACGAGTTCCATTTCCCTGTTTTGTTGGTATAAACTGCATTTCAATGAGAGGACTTTCCTGCCTAGGTGATGGTATTGTGTGCTTTGAAAAAGGATATCATGGATTATGCTAGAAATAATTTCTGTGTTTCTTTTTTCTCTCATAGTCACGACCTATTCCCTCACACCTTACTTCAGCAGTTGCAGAGAGTATCCTGGCTTCCGCCTGTGAGAGTGAAAGCAGAAATGCTGCAAAAAGGATGCGGTTGGATAGACAGCAGGTACTGTGTTGTTTGGGGGTCTACCACATCCGTATTTATCAATGCACTGGACTCATTTACATAGGATGCCATGCAGAAGGGTGGTGCAGTCCCTTATATGTTTCTTGCTGGCAAGAATAATTAAAATACAAAAGCTGTAGTTCTTTGAATGAATACACAAGCATGTCTTTGTCTATATTTACATAAGCTGTATGAGGGTGTCTAGTATGTTTATAATGTCCAGCTGGATAAAGCTATATATTTGCTTTTTAACGGTTGTAGATTTTGAGGGCATAGTGTATAATCTGCATACTAGAGTTAAAAGGAACAAAACATACAGTATATGTAATTTACATAAATAATAGAAATGGTGCATGTATCCATGAGTCAGTGTGTTTATCTGTGCACGTATTGTCTTTCAAAATGTGTATGCATTTGTAAATATAAGGTGAAATAGTGTAAGTTTCTGAAAATACCTATTTGCCTGAAATAGAAAAGTTATTGTGATATATAGCAAAATGCTGTCAATTAACTTATTAGTGAGTTTTTAAAGCTCATATAAATATTTATTTTAATTTTTTATGTGATTATTCACCTATTCTGGTGCATGTTAGGATTTAATTATTTTTAATTTGCTGAGAATTGCATGTTTTCTTTCAATTTTTAAAAATCAAACTGGTAGCTTATTCCAGGCTTTGTTTATTTAGTTGCTCCACAGATACAGTGAATGTCTAATATTCTTATTGCAAAGACTATTATGCTTTATTTCTCTTCATGATTATCACAAAGTCAAATCTCAGTAAGATCTCAGTTTTTCCAAAAATATGCCTCAGTCATGGTAGACGAACTTTTTTTTGTGGAAAAGACTTCTTTTTTTTTTTTTAAAAAAAGAACATTTTCCTTTTATACATAGTCCATTGAGTTCTTTCAGGTTGTGCCCTAACTGAATAAAGGATTCCTACTACTCTTTCTTGAACATTAATAGTTTAGGATCAGGAAGTGGATATTGCTATTTCTTTTTGCTGTTCTATTTTTTGCTAGTTTTTTCATTATTGCTGTAAATTTGCCTTAAGATTTACAAATCACATGGGATGTCAAAGCATTCTAATGTTAATTATAGCTTAGTTTAGAAGTAGTGCTCATTCAGATTCTGCAGGTTTTATATTCTCTCATTTATTCTCTGATTTTTCAGTAACAAAAAAACCTACAACCTACAAAATTGATGTGCTTACCCCAAAGAGAACTAGAAAAGCCTGGTATGAACATCAATTACTATCATTGCACAAAACTAGTAGCTCAATTCCTTGGTCCAGCCTGGGTGAGGCAGACTTTTTGAGTGTGTTAAGTGAGAATCCCATAATACTCTCCAGGGAGCCAGAGAGCTGTTGAAGTAAAAACAATTTTAAAACTGTAGACAGAACTCAAAAACCCTATTAATAGGATTTCTTTTTTTCTTTTATTTGTTGTATTACTATCATAGAAAGATTTGGTAACTTATTGTTGAGGGGAGAGGTATTTCTTTACTTTTCATTACAGAATTAAAAATCTGTAGGCAGAATGGCTCCAAACTGATTACCTTAATTACAATTGTGATGTTAAAGTAGCAAAGCTGCCTGCAAAGAACAGTTGTTGGGTTCTGCTTCCTTCAGCTCTGCCCTCATTTTGGCAGTGAGTTCTGGGAACACTGTGGAGACAGTTGCAAATAGCACCAGCCACTTGATTCAGCAAGCAGTAAATTAGCTGGGTTGATGTAGCTTTGGTGCTTGCAAAACTATTTGTGAATTCAGGATAGATTTTCTGAATAGTTTTGGCTGGAAAAAAATTACAGGAATATGTGTTAGGTAGCTTCATAAAACTTACAGTGAGAAATTTACCCTGCAGGACGGAATAGTTAAGTCACTAGAGAAATAGAAAACCTTGGTTCTAGAGCCAGCTCCATTGAAATTTAATTATTTATTCCAAGTATGTGACATTAACAAACTAGGCTGAGAGCAAAGCATTCCAGAGTATTTCTGAGTGGAGTGTTTAACACACACTGCTGTGCTCGGTTGTTATGCTGAGATGGGAAGTGGACCTGTATCCTCACATCCAGGGAGAGTGCTTCATAGGTAAAAGGACTCTAGTCTTCTCCTCTTCCTATTTTTTATTTTTACTTGCTTTTAAATTTCCTTCACTTTTCTTACATATATCCAAAATGAAGTATTTTCATTGTGTTTTTTTCTTAGACAGAGTAAGGTTGAAAAAGTTCAGTTCAGCATATTGTTTTTACGCTGTCCCATAGCTCTGAAATTGGGCATTATACCAATAGGTGGACTTAGGCTTTGAGGACCTTTCAGTGGAAATCTGGGAGGAGAAAAGGGGAAATAAGATTTGGATAATGAAAATTACCACTTCATAAATTTTGTCAAGAGATCTTCTAATGGAGGACAAGCATTGAATAGTCCTGGAAAGTAGATTGTTAAGAGGATCTGGTAAGAGCACTCATTCAGCACTTCCCCTCGGAACTGAATGGAAGCGTTGCATTAAAGCTGCTTTATTCTTGCATGCAGCACAGTGAAGGTCTGCCTTTTATTCTCCAGAGGGGTGATCTGCCTCAAAGTGAGATGTAATTTGCATCCCCACCACCACCTTTTTCAGAGTATTACCCATAAAACGTGAATGTATTAAGAATACAATGAGTGTTATGCCCAGCCCTGAAGCTAAGACAAAACTTCAGCAGTTTCTTGAACTCCTTTTCTTGTCTTATGTTCTTTCCTCTTCTCTGTTTCTCCTCCTCTCCCTGGCACAACGCGGTCCCTGAGCAGGAAGTTCTGAGCATGTTGCATGTACGTCCCTAATGGAAGTCTATACTTTGGTGAAGTAATATGAATTTCCAGACTAAATATGTTTTTGCCTACAGTGTTAATTTTAACAGTGGTTTGATGAAAAGCCATCTCAATTATTGGTCAGCAAAAAGAACCAGTTTAAAAATCAAAACTGTGGAAACTTCTAAGAGCTCATTATTTTTTTTTTTGAACAGATAGAGTATTCACTATGCTCATGACTATTAACTGCTTCTTTCAGAAATATTAAACGTGGAGGGTTGGCTTTATATACTTACAATCCTGTGCACAGATTTGTTATTTCTTCCGAAGAAACCTCTCCAATTGTATGCCTGTGTCTGCAGGCATTCAAATACCGCATCTTATGAATGATTTTCTAGAAGTATTTCTGATAGCTGTAGTGCTTAATATAGCCCTGATCTAGTGATTTTGTTAAGTTTACTGAAGTTAAGTCTGAAGCAGAAAAAAGCCATCATTCTACCTGTATGCTTCAAATTCAACTCACACAATCTTTGTATTTCTTAACTCAATTTGAAAAATAAGTTAATGAAAACTGGTTTCGCTGGTATCAATTTCTTATTTTCAAAAATAGGTTTTTTTCATGGCAATCATTTATTTCATAATGGGAAACTCAATGTAATCTTGTCTGTCAGAAAACAAGTACCTTCCTGTAGTTTTTGAAACTGTAACAATAAAATCATTGTCATTTTCTAAGACTTCTCTGTAAGAAATATAAATGTGTTTACTAGGTCATGGTAGCTTGGACTGTAATGCTATGGCTGTCCGACCGTGTTAGATGTTACTCAAGTGCTCTCTTTAGCTTCAGTGTGTTTTCATTATCTTGAGATCAAGCTCTGTTGGTTGGCCTGTAGCTTAAGTGCCGAGGAGTTACATATTTGATACCTGTTACCAGACTGAAGAGTTCTGTCACTTCCATTTAAATATCTGCCTGATATTAAAAATAATTTATTCCCTTGCACAAATTTTATAGATTTATATATTGAAATAGTACAGGTTTCCTGATACTACTGCCAACGGTGAAAAGCTCGTGACAATGGGCTGGATTTGGTTGATCTTTCCACAGTCCAGATCAGGCAGTGGGTACAGATGCAATGCAGAGCTTTTGTGTTGCTCTCCAAATCATCTCTGCTGAGTCTGAATACTGAAAAAGGGCAACTCCAGTCTTGAATTTTGAGGACTTTTTTCATCACAGTTGATAAAAAAGGTAGAAACAATAATTGGATCGACCTTCTATGACTTGCTTCAGTCAGAGATAGAAGAGACATTATCTGAAATCTTAAGATCTCCTGTGCTTCTGAGTAATATCTTGGGATGCTGTCCTCGGATAATCCTTCAAGATCCTTATTACATCTCTAGCCATATTCAGTGTGAAGCAGTTGCACTGAAGTGGAGGTTCTGGAGTACTATTAACAAGGGAGTCATGAAACAAATTAAGTAGAGCTAAAAATACAGCCCTTTTTACATGCATTCATTACATATGGTGAACAGGATAACTTCTTTTGTTGTGTCCTTCACTTTACAAACCAAATTGTGTCTTGGTCGGTGTCATTGTTTAGCCCCAGCTGGCAGCTGAGCACCACGCGGCTGCTTGCTCACTCCTCCCCCCCAGCAGGATGGGGAGGAGAATCGGAAGACAGAATGTGAGCACATGGGACCAAGGAGGGAGAATGAGTATGGGGAAGCAGGAGACTAAAACTGAATCATAGAATACTATGTCTGAAGGAGTGTATGAACCTCTTTATGGACGTGTCGTGTATAATTAGCCAGATCATTTAGAAAATTGATGTAGCTTCATTGGCACCATGTTGTTTTGTTCTAGTTAGGAATCTGGACCTTTGAGAATTCATTATTATATTTATAGATAGGAGAGTAGTGGTCACATGACTGTGAAGCCAGTGGACTGGATCCTCACCTGAACTCAATCCGTGTTATTTTAGCAATTTTTTGGGTAGCCAAAGGAGTGAGCTATGTACATTTCTTTCATCCTTATGCCCGAAATAATCAGACATGAAATGTGTGACTCTTTTGTAGTTAACAGCAAATGACAAGTTGACCCCAAAGAGAGCTTAAGCTCAGAAGAAAATGAAAGTTGTCTTACATTTCTCCCATCCTAACAAAGGCATTTCTCAGCCAGAGCTGGTGCTTTTTAAATTAGTAGGCTCTTCACAGAGTGCTTGT